TGGTGGGGGGTGTATGTGTGTGTCTCCCTCTCTCTGTATCACTCTGCATTTTTTTTTTTTTTGACAGAGTGGACAGTGAGAGAGAGAGACAGAAAGGTCTTCCTTTGCCATTGGTTCACCCTCCAATGGTCGCTGCGGCCGGCACACCACGCTGATCCGATGGCAGGAGCCAGGTACTTATCCTGGTCTCCCATGGGGTGCAGGGCCCAAGCACTTGGGCCATCCTCCACTGCACTCCCGGGCCACAGCAGAGAGCTGGCCTGGAAGAGGGGCAACCGGGAAAGAATCCGGCGTCCCGACCGGGACTAGAACCCGGTGTGCCGGCGCCGCAAGGCGGAGGATTAGCCTAGTGAGCCGCGGCACTGGCTCACTCTGCATTTCAAATAAGTATGTCTTTCTAAAAAAAAAAAAAAAAAAAAATCAGCACCAGGCAGGCATTCAATCCAGTTGAGATGCCCACGTCCCAGAGTGCAGTACCTGGGCTTGTTCCCAGCTTCAGCTCCCACTCCAGCTTCTTGTTAACGTGCACCTGGGAGACAGCAGTGGATGTCCAGTACTTGATTCCCTGCCCCTATGTGGCAGATCTGGGCTGTACTCCTGGCTCCTGGCTTCAGCCTAGCCCAGTCCCGGCCGTTGCAGACATTTGGGGAGTGAACCAGCGGAACCGTCTCTCTGCCTCTCAAAAATAAAACACAACAGCAAGAAAACCCACAGCACTAGTCCTAGTAAAACGAAAGCTCTTGTCAGGTCTTTGCCTGCAGTGAAAGAGGATGAAAGCCCAGAGTGCGTGTTGCCCTGGATCTGTCTAACCCTGGGATTTGGTGCATCTTATACTTAACAGCAAACCGGGTGGGAAAAGAAAACTCAGTTCTCAGATTACGATGAGCTGCTCTTTTGTACTAGGAGAAAGATCTCCCATCTAGAAGTAGAACCCAAGTCAGTAAACATACAATGGGAAAGCGAAAATCATTACAGGCAACAGACGAAAGATGTGCGACCTTCCCACAGACGTGGGGAGCAGGTGTGCAGAGTGAAGTCACGCCTCCGGAGGAGCGCTGGCTACCGAGGCAGGATCTGACTGCTCCCCTTGTGCGGGAGGCCGTGGGTAGTGACCTGGAATCAGGAGATGGAGGCAGCTTTTATGCCCAGACGAGAGGAGCCAGGAGGAAAATGAGTGATGTTGGAAAGCCCAGTGCATTAAAGTTCCGAGGTGGAGAGGAAAGGTGGATACGTCAACTTGGCTAAAGAAGAAAACAGGAAAGCCGGCATGACAGGTCATCCGGAAAGCTTCGGGCAGAGCGAACCTTGGCGGAAAGTGCGGATTAAAATCTCTCAAGAGAAAGGCGCAGTCTCCCGAGAAATGATCTGTCCAGGAAGATCACTGTGTGGAGCAGGAGGAGGAAAGTTCTGGAACAATGACACGGTGAGCATGCGAATGAAGAACTGAAGACCTTCAGAAAGCCTGTCAAAGACCTCCAAGCAAAGCTGGAAAGAAACACTCGTTCTTACTAAGCTCACAAGGAAAAGGCATAATGAGAAAAAGCACGGTAGGACCGCGACCGTAAAATAGACAATAACAAGTGTTGGCTAAGGGCTCTCGGAGGTCGCTGTGTGCCAACAGTGCCTCAGAATTCTCAACTTCTGGGGCTGGCATTATGGCATAGAGGGTAAAGCTGCTGCCTGTGGTGCTGGCACCCCATATGGGTGCTGACTCCAGACCCAGATGCTCCACTTTTTTTTTTTTTTTAAGATTTATTTATTTACTTGAAAGTCAGAGTTACACAGAGAGAGAAGGAGAGGCAGAGAGAGAGAGATCTTCCATCTGCTGGTTCACTCTCCAGATGACTGCAATGGCCGGAGCTGTGCTGATCCGAAGCCAGGAGCCAGAAGCTTCTTCTGGGTCTCCCACGTGTGTGCAGGGGCCCAAGGACTTGGGCCATCTTCTACTGCTTTCCCAGGCCATAGCAGAGAGCTGGATCAGAAGTGGAGCAGCTGGGAATCGAACTGGCACCATATGGGATGCCGCAATGCAAGCAGTGGCTTTACCCACTACTCCACAGCGCTGGCCCCAGCTGTTTCACTTTCAATCCAGCTCCCTGCTAATGGCATGGGGAAAGCAGCAGCAGATGACTCAAGTGCTTGAGTCCCTGTACCCATAGGGGCAGAGGAGTCCCAGAAGAAGCTCCAGGCTTCTGGCTTTGGTCTGGTCCAGCCTCAGCCATTGGAGCCATCTCGGGAGTGAACTAGCAGGTGGAAGACTTTTCTCTCTGTCTCTGTCTCTACCTGTCTCTGTCTCTCTCTCTCTCTCTGCAACTCTGCCTTTCAAATAAATAAATGAGTCTTTTAAAAATAATTCTCAACATCTGACTTATCACGTGGCCCATCAATTCCACCCCTCAGAGAAATGAAACTGCATGTCCACAGAAAGACCTGTATTCAGATGTTCATAACAGAATTATGCATGATAGCTAACAAGCGTATGCCACTCAAATGTCTGTCCACTGATGACTGGGTAAGTAGAACATCATATAGTCATACAGTGGAATATTATCCATCAGTAAAAAGAAACGACACAAGCTACAGCATGGATAAACCTTAAAAACATGCTAAGTGCAAGGAACAGGTCAGGAAAGATAATAGATTGCATGATTCTATTTATATGAAATGTGTACAATAAGCAAAGCCACATGGATAGAAACAGCTTAGTGGGGATATCAGGGCCTCGGGGTAAAACAGAAATGGGACTCTCTGCTAAAGGGTACAGGGGTTCTTTTTTATTATTAATTAACTAATGACTTACTGGAAAGAGAGACATTTTCCATTCTCTGGTTCACTCTCCAAATGCCTATAACAGCCAGGACCCAGAACTCTATGCAAGTTTTCTATGTGGGTAAGCAGGGCCCTAGTACTTGAGCATCTAGTACCTGCTGCCTCCCAGGGTGCACACGAGCAGGAAGCTGGACAAGAAGTGTGGCAGCCAGGACTCACACCAGGCACTCTGATACCGGAATGCGGTGTCCCAGCTGGCGACTTTACCGCCATGCCGAACACCTACCCCAGGACACAGGGTTTCCTTTTGCGGTAATGAAAAGGTTCTGAAATTAGATAGTGCGGATGGCTGCACAAGTTCATGGATTATACATTTCAAATGGGTGAATGTTATGGTATGTGAGTTATACCTCACTAAAATTATTATTAAAAACTTTTACAAAAGTATTTTGGCTTTTGCTCCAGTTGCATCTTGACATAAAGGTCAAGGACCTTTTTGGTAGAGAGAATGTAAATGATTCTCATCACATTAGACTCTCTGGGAAATGTAGGCGGTAAATGTGCACGTGATGAGCCAGGCCGATGTTCGTCCCACACAGCACGACACCTTTCCCTGTGCCGGGGGTTCTGTGCGCCACAGGGACAAGAACCAGGTAAAAGTTGCTGGCGGGCTTGTTGGTCTCACTTTGCTCTGGTTGATTAAACAGAGAAGGCCTCTGCAGCCAGGGCACCGCCCCGCACCTGGGGTTCCTGCTGGGGCCTCCTCAGCTCCGCGCTCACTCTTCCCACCGGCGCCACCGCCGCCACCGTGGAGATGAGAAGCATTCCCACCCGGATCACCGTGGCTCCAGCGGCTGCTGAATGTCCGGAACTGCATGCTCCATGCTGTGACCATGTGGACGCCTAAGAGAGTCATTAAACCAGCATTTCAAAGACACACGCTTGGTCCCACTGCATGTGTGTATGAAATTTAATTATTTAAGAGAGAGAGAGGTATCCCATCTACTGGTTCACTCCTCAAATGCACCGAAGCAGGCAGGTGGGAGCACAGTCCAGACCTCCCACGTGGGTGCAGGGGCCCCAGCACTTGGGCCGTCCTCTGCTGCTCTCTCACACACATTAGCAGGGAGCTGGGTCAGAAATGGAGCAGCCGGGACTGGAACCAGCGCCTGTATGGGATGTCCAGCGGGACTTTTGCGGCCGCTGTGGCCCTGACTCTGGGATCCTAACCGCCAGGCCAATCGCCCGCGAGCTCTCCTCCTGTTCTTTGCGTGACGCCCCTCTATGGCACGATGCGGGCCGAGTCTTGTCCCCGAGTTTGCACTGCTGCTGGGGAACGTTCTCTCTGCGGCCAGTGGCGAAATCGGGCGTGTAATCTAGGAACCGTCCGTCTGCCGGTTCCCCCTTGCCCGGACACGGGCACTGGCGCTGCTACTCCCGAGGCAGCCGCCTCGCCCCAGCGCAAGGCCGGAAATCCAGGCAGGCGGAGGCAGCGGTGGCACGCTGCAGGCACCAGACAGAGGGTTAAAGGCACAGAGTTGAAAAACAGCGTGGTCCAGGAGAGCCGGTTCCTGAACCGGCTAAGAGGGGATGAGCTCAGGGGCTAATAGGATCGGCCATGGCGAACCCCCCGGCAGGGCACGCACTGCACGAAGGGCTGAGGCGCTGGGGTGCCTCGAGGTCAGGATTACAGGCACCCGGGGGCGAGCAAGGGAGGCTTAAGGAGCCAGGCTGCTCAGCCGGCACTGGGGTGATGGGCGCCGTCCAGCGGGGCCGCAGGAGGAAGGCTTAGCCTCGCCCCCGCCCGAGGGAGGAGGCTGGCCCCGCCCCCTGACCGCCCGGCGACCCCAACCGCGACGCCCCCAGCCCCCGGAACGTCGGAGATGCCCGACCGAGACCCCCGCCGAGTCGCGGACGGCTGGGTCAGCGAGCTGAGGGTCGGCGCCAGCAGACCAGTGGGGCAGGTTGGGGAGGGGTCTGGAGAGAGAGCCCGGCGTCCCCCAGGATCTGCGAGGCCCTCGCGCCTCCCCCTTCGGGCTCGCACTTGGTAGCACCTCCCTGATCCCCTTATCTCTAAGGCGCTCAGGGGACTGGCCCCGTGCCGCAGCCTTCTCGGAAATGCTGCCCTGGCCACCCGGGAACCATGAGCCCTGCGACCCCGGTAAGGCAGCGCGGGGCCGGGGGGGGCCGGGCGGGTGCCCTTGCCGAGCAGGGATCGTGACGGGAGCCTTGGCGGCCCCGGTCCTGAGGGGCGGCCGGCGTCTGCCTGAGGTGGGGTCGGTGGGGCCGGGAGCGGTCCCGGAGGGGGAACCGAGGTGGTGGACGCAGGAAAGCTCTTCGTTCCCGGCTGGGCTCCTCCACTCCATTTCCCGCGGGGCTTCACAGAGACGTCTCCAGCCCCGCCGTGGCGCCGCCTACCTCCTCCCCAAGCTCCGGCCACTACCGTGGCCGTCCGAGCTCCCGGCCCGCCTTCCACCGTCCGTGCGGACCCCCCGGCCTCCCCGCCCCTGCGTTCTGCTTCCCAGACGCTCCCTGGGCACTGTTAAACTTCCCGATGCGCGTGAGTCTGGGCGCCCGGTGTACCTGGGGAAACCGCTTTTTATCCTCCGGGCAGCCAGAACCACTGGGCAAAGGCAGAGCCTCTTTACCCGTAGCTGAGCCACACCGTGTGCCCCGATTGTGCGCCTACGGGTCGTGTCCCCCGCCAAGACTGGAAACTGGGGGGTGGACGGGGCACGCCGCATCCGATCCGCCCTAAAGCCTGGCGCAGCGTCTGCCACCAAGCTGAGCGTCAAAAAACTTGTAACTTTACTTTCTCCTGGAAAATGAGTTCACAGACTCTGAAGAAATAGCGTTTTAGGGTAACTGGACTGGACAAATGTCTTAATCAAAAAATAAAAACAAAATCTCGGACCGGTGCTCCGGGTCATCAGGAGCTGCCCCCCTGGAGACTGCCTCTGCACAGCTGTAGAGCTGTAGACTACAAGTCCCAGCATGCCTCAGCGCCACGGCTCTCCTCGCCACGCCCCCTCCCTGGGGTGGGCGGGGCCCAGGCGAAGGAAGGTTCCCCCCCCACCCTGGCACAGCTTGGGGAGTGAAACGCCCCAGGCTCTCTGGGGCGCGCAAAGCGCAGGCGCAGCGGGTTGGGTGGCAGCAGCGTCGAATAGCCGCCGGCCGTTTTGGCAGCAGCATCCGCAACAGGTGTAGACAGGTGGGTGCATCAAGGGGAAATGGAGAAGGAGTTTGCAAAAAAACTGGCCTGGCCCTCTTGTCTGACCTGTGTCAGAGCTCGGAAAGGGGAGGGAGCTACAGGAGAAACAGAGACAGGCCGGACCTTGTCTGGCAGGTGTGCCAGCTCTTGTTACGCAGCAACAGGTGTGAGCTGGTGGGGGAGGGGGAGGGACATCTGCTCACAAGTAGGTTGTCCTCAGAAACAGGGCACCGGGCTCCAACCGAAGCACTGTTGCATACCTGGATGAGTCTTTTGCTGCCCCTCAGAGGCTCCTTGTTACTGTGGGGACAAGGGGAGGTAGTCTAGACTGTGCAGGGGCTCCCAACCTGTGCAACACCTTGGACTCACCCGAGGATCCCTAAAGACTGGCAGTGCTCGTTAGGATGTGATCAGGAGTGCCTGGGACCGGCTGCTATGACGGTTCGAAGCCGGCACTGCTGGCTGCCGGCCCGGCTCCACTGCTTACTAACCCATGATGAGGCCCCGGATGCCTCATCACTCACATGGGATGAAAAACATTGTCTACGTGAGGTGACAGAGTTTGCAAGCGCTGAGCAGCGTACCTGGCCGTCGCTGCTGATCCCCTGTTATTTTCCACATTGTAAGCAGCCTCCCCAGGGCCCCAGTGTGAGGTCCCAGTGTGCTTTTCTCACGAAGTCCCTGGTTCATTGCTGTGATTCTAATATTCCATGCTGCTAGCACTGCAAAATTCCAGGGTTTCTAACATTTAAAGAGTTCTCTCCAGCCTCGACCTGCCTCATAGACACACTTTACAAAAAAAACTTTTAAAAACAAAAGTTTTGTTCCAAGCAGGAATAAAAACACACTGTCAGAGACCTAGAAACTGAGGGCAAGCAGAAGGGACTGGACCAAGGCTGTGCAGCTGAGACTGGAATGCGGGAGCACCACCCCCACCCCATCACAAGGGTGGCTCCCCCCCCCCAGGACAGCGCTCCCTTTCTCTGCCTGGAGCAGAGGATGGGGAGGAGGCCAAGCTGGGCCCTTGGCAGCCCCCACCCCGGGAGCTGCTCCGGAGTGGCCGTTGAGGGCTGTGTTTCCTGGGCTCTTCTGACAGGTCCCGCCCGACTCCACCCTGGAAAATCGTTTCGAAGAAATGGCCCTGGTGAGGGGCGGCTGGCTGTGGAGACAGAGTGAGTGACCCTGGGTGGGGGGAGGGGGAGTGGGACTTGTCAGGCGTGGGGCAGGGGTGAGGGAGCGGCTGAGGGGATCAGCCCTGGTGAATCCTTCCAAGAGGCCAGGGCCCTTTGGTCCCCCCTGCCCCGCCTGCTTGGTAAACTACTCCTTCTGCGAGACCCAGCTCAGGGGGCCCTTCCTCCTGTAACCCCACCTGGGCACCGTACCCGTGGTCCCCTGCCTCCCCTACCAACCCGGGCCCCAGTCTGGGAACTCCTCCAGGGCAGGCACTGGGTGTGACCCACCGTGAGTCCACAGCACCCCGGCACAGAGCACATGAAAAGTGGCCCCATGCTTTGGAACCCATAGAGCTCGGAGAGTTCTCTTCTCTCTCTGCCCCGTCCTCTTCCGATTGCCAGTTGCAAGACATCTGAAGCTGGGTGTGAGGCTTCTAGACCCTTCTCTGGCATGGGGTATGAGCTGAACAGGAGCACAAACACCAAGCACAGGTCTTCTGAATGCCAGCAGCTGGGTGGATGGGGGTGCACTCGAGGCAGGCACCGCACACCTGTCTGTCACACGAGTCAGCGTTAGCAGTGAGGTGGAGGCCCCGGGGTAGGGACAGGTCTTCGTCCTCAAAGAGACCTGGGACTTGGCCTTGGAAGCTCCCAAGCCACAGGCCTGGCCACTCATTCACCACGATGAGCTCCTACATGCCAGGCCCCAGGGGCAGACGGGACAGGAGAGGCCCCACCCCTGAGACAGGGGCTGGATGGAGGAGGAGACAAGGCTGGGGCCTGGGGCTGAGGGGACCCTGGGAGCCTCGCCCTGGGGTCAGCCTGCCTGCCGGGCCTGCAATGTGGCGCAGGCTCCATCCTGCGCCGCTGGAAGCGGAACTGGTTTGCCTTGTGGCTGGACGGGACCCTGGGCTACTACCACGATGAGACGGCGCAGGATGAAGAGGACCGCGTGCTCATCCACGCCAACGTCCGCGACATAAAGGTCGGCCAGGAGTGCCATGGTGAGCAGAAGCCCCGTCCTCCGGCACTGCGACCAGGGGTGGGGGGAGCGGGTGGGAGGGTTGTCCCTCTGTATTTGGGGACACCTGGGATTGGAAGGTTCTCTTAGGCTTCCGCAAACATTGCTTCTGGGCCTTTGCCAACTCCAGGTTTGTTAGGTGTGAGTTAAGAAATCCATCGTCCAGGGGTGAATCAGACACAGTTCCTGCTCCCGAGGCACTACAGACTGGACAAACGGGAAATGAACCAAAATGGCTCAGAGAAGTCAAGGGACTGGCCCAGAGCACACAGCAAAAATGCAAATTCCTGTCCCAAGGCCATAGTTATGACAGGGCGACTGGGAGAAGCATAAGGAAGCCAGCAAGTGGAGAGGCTGAGCGTCTGAGGCTCAAGGAAGCTTGTGGGGTGATAAGAGGCTGGCGGCAGCCAGTAGGCAGGACCCTGAGAAGGCAGCCCCTCCCCGTGTTGCTGCTTTCCTGGGGGGACCCGGAAACCCAACAGAGGTGTGTCTGCTTCCAGATGTGCAGCCCCCAGAGGGCCGGAGCAGAGATGGGCTGCTGACCGTGAGCCTGCGGGAGGGCGGGCGCCTGCACCTGTGCGCCGAGACCCGGGACGACGCCATGTGAGTCGCTCCAGGACAGGGGCACGGTGGGATCCCGGGGAGTGAACCCAGACCCCTCTCACTGACCACGGGAAGAGGAAGAGGCCTATGAACAGGCAGCCAGGCTGGCCCACTGCAGGCGGGGCAGAGCAGGTGGTGGTGGGCTCCTCGGACAGTGAGGGAGAGCTCTGTGCACCTGCCCCACCTGAGGGTCCCCAGCTGTCAGAATCAACTACTTAGCAAACTTTGGGGTGAGCCCCCACCTGGGGGTGATGCACAGGAGCAGACAAGCCCGGGGCGCCCCCGAGGACCCTTCCTTCTCTCCCTTCTGCCTCGTGGAGGCTCCGGTCTGTAGGGTAGACCAGGACCTTTCGGAGGCAGCCTGCGGGGCGCCAGTGTCTGAGGCGGAGCTGTGCTGGGAGCTGGTGTGCCTGCCTTGGGGGCTCGCCCTCTGCTCCCTCACATTCCTTCCCTTCCCACCCTCGGGCTGAGGGCCGTGGCCTTGGCCTGGAGGAGAGAGAGATGGGTGTGTGGGAGTGGGGGAAGCTGAGCTCGCTGGTGGCAGCACAGAGCAGCCTTGTCCACCCCAGCCGGGCTCCATGACAACCTATAAAGGCCCGATTGTCTGGTGTCCCTGGGCCCTGGGGTCAGAGGCTTTGGGTACTATGTCTGCAGGTTTCGGGTATGGAGGGGCTGCAGCTGGAGCACGCCCAGGCCCCCCTCCCCCCCACAACCCAGTGGTACATTGACTAGATGGAGAGGCCAGGAACTAAGAAGGAAGGAACCTGGCCTGGGGCTCTACCCACACAACCAGGCAGGGAGGGGCTGCTTCTGTCAAGAGGATCTCCCCCTTGTGGGGAGACTGGGGCTGGCGCTGTGCTGGGTGGGGGGCAGTGTAGACTCCTTCCTCAGGACCTGATGAGGTTTGCTTTGCAGAGCCTGGAAGACGGCGCTGATGGAGGCAAACGCCACCCCGGTGAGCCCCCGCCCCTCCCCCGCCTCCCAGCCCTGTGTGCCATGGAATCAGCGGGCGCAGACTCGGTCTCCACCTGCCAGGAGTTCTCAGTCTAGTGTGGGCTCAGAGGTCCTGAGTGACATGTGGGAAAGGACAGGGGACGGCTCAGAGGAGGGGCAGGAAGAGGCTGGGGAGGGGGTGGGGTGTGAGCTAGGGAAAAGGAACCGCCTTTTATTGAGCAACTATTATGTGTCAGCGTGGTGTGGGGCTAATCTCACCTCCGCCTCACAGCAGTCCCGGGAGGTGGCGATTATTGCTGCCTGCCTGCAGATGACAAGGCTGAGGTTCAGTCACCCACGCAACATTGACCGCGTTCCCACCATGCACCAGGCACCAGCCAGGTGCCAAGATCAGAGGTGAACCAAGGAGACGTGGCCCTGCCCTAAGGAGCCAAACACGAAGAGCTGATGACCTAGTTACTGACGTCAGGTCGCCGGTGTAACTGCTCTGCCGGACACGGGCGGCCTGTGCCCCGTTTGTGGCCTGACCCAGCGGGGAGTCCAGCGGAGGCTTACACGGAGACCTGAAGGGTGGAAGGTATGAGGACTGAATGCAGAGGCCCTGAGAGGGATGAAGATGCCAGCATCAGGGGGACAGAAGGAAGGCTGCTCTGGCCGGAGCTGAGGGAGGCAGGGGGCAGGGCAGGAAGGTCAGCAACTCAAAGCAGAGACCGTGTGATCAGATCAGGTTTACATTGTTATTTTAGAGAGAGAGAGATTGGGGGAAGAGAGAGACCCTCTCTTCCATCTGCTTGCTGGTTCAAATGGCCTCAATGACCAGGGCTGGGCCAGGCTGAACCCAGGAGCCAGCAGCTGTATCCAGGTCTCCCACCTGGGTGCAGGGGCCCAAACACTTGGGCCATCTTCCACTGCTTTCCCAGATGCATTAGCAAGGAGCTGGATCAGAAGTGGAGCAGCCAGGGCTTGAACCAGTGTCCACATAGGATGCTGGCACTGCAGATGGCGGCTTAACCCGCTGCAGCACAGTGCCGGCCCAGGTGTGTTTTTAAAGATAGTGTGGCTGGTAGGGAAGAAGCAGGTGGTAGGGGTCAGAGTGGATCCCGAGGCGGTGAGGAGGCTGGAGGCCGAGGCCAGAGACAGGCGATGAGGACACAGACTTGACAGAGCTGTGGGCTTGCAGGCGTGCCCACGGCCCCGCCTGACCTTGACCCCAGCATCCTGACTGCACAACCTGCGTCTGCTCCTTTTACCCATGGCAGTGGTGCCTTCTCTTCCCCAGGCGGAAGGTCCACTGGGAGGTGACGGGGAGACTGCAACGCAGTTGGAAACCCACTTGGGCAGCTCCCTGCTGAGTACCTGGCATTGGTTACATCATTTCGGCTCCTAACAACCCTGGCAGGTGGATGGGTGGAGGTGTTGGCATTTAATCCCATTTTACAGATAGGGAAGCTGAGGTACAGGGAAGAGGAGGGGCTTGTCCAAATCCTCACATCTAAAGTCAGTAAAGGAGCTTGGACTAGGACCTCTGCCAGTGAGATCCAGAGAGGGGGGTGTTACCTGCAGAAGTAACGTGTGCATGTGCGTGTGTGCGTGCAGGTCTAGCTGTCTGGAGGAGACACACGGAGGGAATGAAAGGGAGAGACGACCCCTCAGGTCATCTGGGCCGGGTCACGAGGGGCCTCGAAGTCCAGTAGGGAGAGCGCGACTTCTCATGCTGGCCCTGGGGCACAGTGCAGGCATTAAATGGGGCCAGACTCAGGCTCCCGGGGAAGCGTGGATGGAAGGGAGCTGGCAGCAAGGGGGCAGCGGCCTGGTCAGCAGGGCAGAGGGACCCAGGCTGGCCCAGCCTGGCCAGCCCTGACTCCAAAGCGCCCGTTGTAAGCAGGGTGAAGCAGGGAGGGAGGGCTGACCACTCTGTGCTCCATGACTCTATGAAGCCGCCCTGTCCCCACTCCGCCCGCCGGCCACTCCCGCGTTTGTCTGCCTGTGGGCCCCTCCCTGCCGCTGTGCCTGTGCTGGAGTGACCCCAGGTGCTGCAGGTTCCTCCCTCACTCAGCCTCTGATTCCAGCAGAGCTGGGCCAGGAGCGGGGGCACGGCCAGGGGCGAGGCTGGGGTGGGCTGCCCTGTGCCCGCTGGGAGGAGCAGCCACTTGGAACTCACAGTGGGGGCTGGTTCTGGAGAGGCTGCTGCCCCTCTGTGTAACCGTGCCAGACACCACCCTGCTCCGAACCCGCCCCCTGTGCCTGTGGGCAGAGGAGGAAGAGGGAACTTGGTAGGAGCTCCAGGGCTCTCGGGGTACAGAGAGCCTCTGACATACCCCTCCTTGGGTTTCTGCGGCCTGAGCAGGCCCCGGCTGGAGCCACTGTCCCTCCCAGGAGCCGCCGGGTCTGCCCCAAGGTCAGGTGTGTGACCCGTTCGTGGAGCCCCTGTCAGGTTGAGAGGCGGATCTGGGTAAGTGCTGGCTCAACCCTCCCCCCTGCCTCCAGTCTGACCATCAGAACCAGCTTCCAGAACTTTCCCAGCCTCATGCCCTTCCCCGCTCATGACACGCTGGCCCGGCTCAGTCTCGGCTGCCACGTGCTCCCTGTGCCCCAGCCACACGACCCTTCCCTCCCTGCACCCGCTGCCGAGCTGGTGGCTGGGTGCCACGGCTGTAGATGTCCTCATTGCCAAGACAAAGGGGCGCTCGTCCTGGCAGGCCCGGTCCCAAGGCTGCCGCTGCTCCGTGAGGTTCCCCCCAGGCCTGCGATGCTGAATCCTGCCTGGCTTCCGCGGCACTGGATTCTGTCTAGCTCATCACCCTCGCCGGGCACTGAGGCAGGGAGCAGGTGCGACTAGCGCTGCTCCCGTGGAGCCTGGCACGGAGTTGGATATACAGCAGGTGCTCAATGAGTGCTCAGTGATGGGGCCAGTCTATCTAACCTTCCTGATGACTGGTGTGTGAGGATCTGGCACAAGCCAGCTTCGGGGGCTGCTCCCGAATGAGTGAAGGAAGGAGTGGGTGAGCACTAAGCCTCTGTGTCCTGATTAATGCACACGCTGTCACTTAGTCTGGGTCTCTCACCGCCCGGAATGTTCCTTGAGAGCAAGGTTTGGGCCTGAGTCCTTTCTTCATCCCCAGTGCCCAGCACAGGGCCCACAGGGCTGGGGGGCAGTGGGGCTGGGTCAACTTGAGATCTGCTTGCGGGGCGGTGTGTGGTGTGGCTGTGCATTAGCACTCGTTAGGGACTTATAAAAAAAAAAAAAAAAAAAACAACCACAGATACTCACATCCTACCTCCTGATGCTCCAATTCCATAGGTTTGGGGGTGGAGCCTAGGACATCTGAAGTTAGAAAATCGCCCTGGGTGATTCTGATGTGCAGCCGGGGAGTGTGTGGCCTGGGACTCCCAGCATGCCCGAGGTTGCAGGTCTGTTTAAATGGGCAATGCCTGTAAACCTGAGCATGCTAGAGCTAGCCTGAGGGGAGTCATTTGCATGTGACACCCTGATTGGCCAACATCCTCTGCACCTGCAGAAGGGGCTGGGCCTCCAGAGAGGGAGAGGATCAGAGATGCACCCTCAAGGTTCTGGCCTCTTGTCCCTGGGTGACACTGCCTGTTGCTGGGGGACCTATTGAGTTTACTTTGGGAAGGTAGAAACAGGTGACCCAGAGGGACATGAGCTGGTGTTTTCCACTCTCTCCTGGGCCTCCCAAAGCCCTGGGCTCACTGTGCAGCTGCCGCGCTGGTGACGGCTGTGGCCTTTAACTTCCTTACCGGTAGATTCAGACCTGTGTGCTTAGTTCCCTCCAGCCCGCTTTGGGCATGGAGCCCAGATCCTGGCCACCCCCACCAGAAGTCCTACCAAATCACCCCAAAGAGAGGCAGCAGGACGGGGAGAGCTCCTGGCCACGGAGGACCCCACAGCCGTGCTTATCTGAGCCTTTGCCAATCCCCAGGATGCATGTTCTCCCTAACTTGAAACTGAACTTGGAGTTGGGTGACATCAGTTCCAGTCTGGCCCTGTTTGTGATTCAGTTGCGGTTAGCTCAACCAACATTCATCAGACACTCGTCAGGTTCCAGTCACAGGGGCCTGTGAGTCTGATGTGGCAGGGGAGCCCAGGACACCTGCTGTGGGGGATGAGTGACGCTGAGCCTTAGGTGGCTGAGTGGGGAAAGGTGTGAGGGGCATCCCTCCTGAGGGGAGATGGCCTGGGGACTTGAAGTCACAATGAGCTTGGGGGACCCCCACACACACACCGCGCAGCCCTCTTCTTGAATGAGAGGCTGGGACGTGTTGGCCCCATCGCTCAGCGCTCACCTGCCCTGCAGCCCTTCCCCGTCTGGCTTCTTCCCCCACTGCACCTGCTCCTTTGAGAAGTGTTTTCTCAGGGTCACCCACAACTTCCCAGTTGCTGCAGCCAATGGCTGATTCTCTCAGCACTGGCCAAGAGGATGGACAGAGAGAATATTTAGAAGATAAAATCATTCTAATCACCTGGCAGCTGAGGTGACGTGGAAAGCAGTGTGTGAAGGGGTGCCAAGCTGACTCCAGCGTGGGGGTGCAGAGGGAAGCACCCACGATACAGGAGGAGGTCTGGGGACAGAGAGATGTTGCAGTCCTCTAGGGATGAGTGGCATCTGAGGTACCTGGATTGGCAGGTGTGGAGGCCGGTCAGAAGGGGGGGGGGCTGGGAGGAAGGGGCCAGAAGAGAAGAATCCTGCTGCCTCTCCCTGTCTGCTCCCCAGTAAGGAGGATGAGGGGTTGGACCCGGAACCCGTAACTCAGCCCACATCTGTTGGTTCCTGCTCTGCACCAGCCCCTGCTGGCGACACCAGTGAACCAGAACCCCCGCCTGTAGGTGGCTCACCCAGGAGAAAGATAGCAACAAGAGGCACAAGCAAAGTCCACAGAGAATCTGAGAAACTTCTGAGACCAGGAGGGCTTCCTGGAATCAGTGATGTTTGCACAAGGCTGTGCAAGGCCTGTAAGAATCCCTGAGAAAACACGGAGCATTCTCTGAACCTCGGTCTTCAGCTGTGTACGGTGGAGGAACTAGCGCCCGCCTCCAGGATTGAGGCCGTTCACCCGTGAACGTCTCTCTCGGGACCTGCACACAGTAGCTGCTCAGTAACTGTGACCTGGTTTCCTCCCATCCCCACCTTGCCTGTCCTACTTCTTCCCCGTCCCCTGTCTATGGCCTGGGCCTGGGGCTTGGCCATGTGCCCTTCCCCATGAGTAGAGAAACCACTGGACTTCTCCAAGTTGGGCCACGGAGAGGTGCTAGCAGGGGGTGGGCTCTGGGGAGAAGCTGGGAGCCAGGGAGAACTTGCAGAGCTGGGGAGGAAGTCCAGGAAGAGGCTTGGGGGCCACTGAGGGCTGAACAGCTCAGCTGTGGGGAGGCAGGGCCATCTCCAGGAGCTTGCTGGTGCCTGGGGGCCCGTTTCTAAACTTGGGGAGGAGATGTGAGGGGAAAGGGACCAAAACCCGGCCCGGGAGCTCACGGACAGCTGACCGGGCCGGACTCCCCAGGTGCGTGTATACAGCCCGTATCAGGACTACTACGAAGTGGTGCCCCCCAATGCGCACGAGGCCACCTACATCCGCAGCTACTACGGCCCGCCCTATGCAGGTAAGTCCCCGTGCGCGTGCCTCAGTCAGGGCCAGGCCCCACCCTTCCCGTGTACTCGGATTTGCCCAGCCAGGACCCTCCCAACACTTCCCTCCCCGAGGCTCAGCACGGCCCTGGGACCAGCCTCCCTCCCGGTTCCAGAGCTCACCTCACCTCTCCAGGTGCCCGGCAATACCCGTCCCTGGGCTGGTGGCGACCTCTGGTGGCAAATGTGGGAATGGCTGCCTCATTCCCGCTCCGGGGCTTGGCGGCCGGGCCCGTCCTTTCTCAGGAGTAGGTGCTTAGAGATCCCGAGGTTCCCTCGCCGCTCTGCTCCAGCGCCACGGTCCCAGAACTCAGTGTCAAATCCAAGTCTTGGGAACCGAGGGGGCGTGGGCAAGGCCGCAGTTGCCCCTACGGGAGGGGCTGGGAAGCGGCCGCAGCGCCGGGTTGGACTGGGTTCCCGCAGAAAAGGACCGGTGTCACCTTGCTGCCTCCCCGACGTCGCCCACCCTCCCGGGCTCTCTCTGCAGGCCCCGGCGTGACGCACGTGATAGTGCGGGAGGATCCGTGCTACAGCTCGGGCGCGCCGCTGGCCATGGGCATGCTCGCGGGCGCCGCCACAGGGGCCGCGCTCGGCTCGCTCATGTGGTCCCCTTGCTGGTTCTGAGCCCCGGGCCTTGCAGCGCTGGACCCTGCGCCTAGACTACCGGCCTCTCTTCCTCATGGACCCCGCCCTGCGCCACCCGCTTTGGCCCTCTGCTCTCTGTCACTAGCTCCTTCTGGGCTTGGACCAACCCTCCTCTCCCTCTTCGAAAGTTACCATCCCAGGCGCAAAGAACCCTGGGTACCCTCCCCTCTATTGCCAGAGCCCCCATAAGCCCCCTCGTAGTCGCAGGTGCGTGGACTCCCTCCCAACACACCAGGGCCACAACAAACTCAACTGCCTTGGGCTCCTCGTGGCCCAGGCGCTGGAGGCGCGGCACGAGGTCGGTGAGCTCTCTGCCCTCTCCTTAAGGAGCTCCAGGCCCGATGGGGGCAGTGGGGGAACAGGCGTCGACAGACATTGAGAAAGCTGTGGAGTTACCAGCCCTTTGGCAAGGACGGGAGCCAGGCAGGTAGGCTGGGAGCCCTGCCCGGCTATGGTGCAGAGCCGCGAGCAGCCCCGCATGTCCCAGGAGGTCAGGGCAAGTTCGCTGGGGCTGGAGGGAGGCAGGGGCAGTGCAGTGTGGTGGATGAAGGGGAGAGGTGCGCTTGCAGCCGAGGGGAGCTGAATGACCTAGCTGCCGTGGACCTAGGGCCCATTTGTTCATACTGACTCGCACACACCCACGCCCCAAACACTCCGAGTTTAGCCCCTTCCTTCCCACGAGCAGCCTCCTGGGTTCCCTGTGCCCCGGGATGACAACTGAGCTGACCCTGGGGACTCCTGGTCGGGGGCCAGGTGAGCTCTGCTCGGGACCTCCAGCCCTAGGAAATTATCTCCATCAGGAAATGCCTTTGTGTCCCAGGAGCTCAGCTGTCGGTCCGCAGCCGCAGCTGTCGCCATCTCAGGCTTTGTCTCTTCCTTTACTCCGGGGCCTGATCCACCTTTGTACCGGCCTGGGAAGCCCCACGTGTGCCTGCCTGCAGGTGGCCCAGCAGTCTCCACCCCCACCTTGGTCGCCTTCAGTCTCTCCCCCTCTCCTGTCCCCATCACCGGTAGATGCTAACCTTTCTGCCCAGAGGCTAATAAAGGCGTGGCTGGCTCTCTCCCTGGCTCCGGCTTGCTCTGTTCCCCAGAAGGTCCTGTGTCCTCGGGACATCTCCATGACCCAGCATCTGCTGGTGCCTCCTCTGGACCAGTGAGACCAGGAGGAACAGGTGTCGGCGCCTTAGCTGAGCAGCAGGGGGCAGGCCTTGCTTTCCCCACCCATAGAAGGTTGTTCCTGAGGGTTGAGGCTGTGTCAGGGTCTCTTGTCAGCTGACAGACGATGCAGCCCTGGTCCTGCCTGTTTCCTGAGAGTCCCGTGGTGTAGGGGGCTTTTCCAGAAGGTTCCCCTCCAAGAGGCGAATCAGCGAATTGTTCTCACAGAGACCAAGGGCCTGGGGAGGAAACACAATGGTCCTTCATCAGGCTTCTGGAAGCTGCAACGACTTCCTACTCAGACTGACTTAAGAAAGGAGCACTTGGCCACCCGACTGACAAGGCCAGAGTGTGGTGCAGGGGCCCAGTGTCACTTACACTTTGCTTTGTTTCTTTTTTTTTTTTTAATTTAAGATTTATTCATTTGAAAGGCAGAATTTAGAGAGAGAGAAAGAGGGAAAAACACAGGGAGAAAGAGAGAGGTCTTCCATTGGCTGGCTCCCTCCCCCGGTGACTGCAATGGCAGGAGCTGGCCAATCAGGAGCCAGGAGCTTCCTCCAGGTCTCCCAGTTGAGTGACTGGGCACTCTCTGTCCCTTCTGTTCTGGTGGATGCTCTATCCCCAATAAAAAAAAGAGCAGCCAGGTGTCAAACTGGCACCCATACAGGATGCTGGCCCCACAGGTGGCAGCTTTGCCCGCTACGTGAGAGCCTTGGCCCTGGTTCCATCTCTGCAGCCACTGCGTTGGCTCACTTGGATCTGCAGTGATGTTCTGCAGAGCCAGTCTAACGCTCTCCCGGGTTCAAGTCCAGCCAGGTTCTCTTCCCTTAAGAGGAAATGAAATTCCTGGACCTGAGGGACATCAGCCATCCCAGAATCAACCGCGGGGTTGTGGAAGAGGGTCTCGGTGACAGAGCTCCCTGCAGGGCGGACAAGCAGGTGGCTGTAACAAGCATCTGATGAACAGAGAGCTGATGAGGAACCCACGGCGAGGCCAGACATGTTCAGCAGTGTGCGGGGAGGGAAGAGGGAGCATGGGACCGGGAGCTCACAGGAGGAGGCACCTGTCCTTGCCCGGCACTGCTTGTGCACTGTGGCCCCTGCGTGGCTCGGCACCAGCAGGGAGGTCAGCCCAGCCGCACAGCACCCGCAGCTCTTAGCCTGTCCTTTCCATGTGCTATTTCTGTGGACAGCCAGGGCTGGGGACTGAGCTCTGGGACATGGACGAGTCTGGAGACCTACAGGGAGCTGGGGGGGCTGGCACTGTGGCACAGTGGGTTAAGCTGTGGCTCGTGACATTGGCACCCCATGCTGGAGTGCCAGTTTCAGTCCTGACTACTCTGCTGCTGACCCAGCTGTCTGCTAACGCACCTGGAAGGGCAGCTGAAGATGACCCCGGGACTTGGGCCTCTACATGTGAGACCACATGGGCAACCAGGATGGAGTTCTTGGCTCCCGGCTTCGGCCTGGCTCAGACCTGGCCATTTGGGGAGTGGACCAGCAGACAGAAAAAAATCTCTCCTTTTTTAAAAAACAACAAGCTGTGTGTGTGTGTGTCTGTTTCAGACATGATCCCAGGCTCTAACAACCTGGTTTGAGGGCTGTGGCAAAGGCAAGCCCGAGGCCTTAGGGTGCACAGCAAGCAGCCCTTCACCCAGCTGTGGGAGTAAGTGAGGCACAGAGAGCCGAGGGAGCGACAGTCTGAAGCTGGTTTGCAAGGTCAGCACTCTTCCGGCTGTGGTCTGTAGGGTCAGTGACTTACAGGAGGAGAAACGAGAACCAAAGGAGCATTCACTGAGCGCCTGAGTGCCCGGGGAGGCCGGGGCTGCAGGGAGCTCAGGGTGGCAGAAGCGATCAGCAGCCCGAGGCCACCATGGGCCTTGAACGCCTGGGAGCTTGAACTCCAGACACCCAGGGCCACTGGCAGCCTTGGAAAGATTTGAAGCTAAAGGACACATAAACTCGGAAGGTGGAGCGACAACGACACGGTCTGAACTCGGGCGGAACGGGCTCTGCAAACCGTCGGGGCTGCCCAGGTGCTGGCCGGCTGTGCTGCGCTCCAGGGCCGTTCGTGAGGCCATCCCGCCTCCAGCAGCCCCTTACTGCGGGGATTCTGTGCACACCGAGCCCTGTTGGGGTCTCACCCTCTTGGTGGAGGGCACCTCAGCAAAACCGAGTTAGACCCCAGTCTCAGAGCCCCAGCCCCACATCCAGAATGCTGGACTACCAAGGACCCTGGAGGCCCTTTGAGACTGAGGCCGCCAGTGCGGATAGGGACCGGTCTGCCACCTGCGGAACCCAGGGGCTGGCTCACTCCTTCCCTTTCCTTCCCTGGGGGGAGAACTCAGCCTGAGAGCTCCTTCCTGGGCTGCGGCCGAGGGCTGCCTCCTGAGAGCTCTGAGGAATGGAGCACCAGCATTGGTTCTGGAACTCAGAACACAGTGACCCACCGCAGCCTGCAGACAGCTCCAGGCGTCCCCGGGGGGACCACTCTGTCAGAACCACATGCTCATGGAGCTGAAGCATGGGCCCTTGAAGTCTGATCCTTTCTGGGCTGGTCACCAGCCTTGAGGGACAGAGCAGGAGAGGTCTCCATTGAGGCCAGGGTGCACGAACAGGGGAAGTGTGTTAAATGTAGCAAGAGTTCCAACCACAGAGCCACACTGCCAGCCTGTGCTCCTTGAGACATCACCTTGAAGGATGGAGCCCTCTCCCCTGGGCGGTCTGGACCCAGCGGTCACCACGGGGAACTCTTGGCAAGATCCTCTTAACTGGATGCCTGCTCTTAGGCGCTGGGCACCAGAAAAGGATCGGTGTAGGATGCTATTCCCTTACTGCCCCAGCTTCTCATTCCACACCACCGCCAGCCCTACCTTCGAGACGGGGGTGCACAGACTCTACAGAAATGGTGGGGTAACCAAAGGACAAAGGAGGAAATGACAAGACCACACTAGATGACTCCTCACACCCCCTCAGGGGAAAGGTTTCTGGTCCATGGCAGAAGTCCCTGCTTCCTCCCCTTCCTCTGCCTGGTTTTCCCCCCAGAACATCTCTCCACACTTTTGCCAGGGTGCTTTCCGCTCGGTCCACCGAACAGAGCCGCAAGTGTGCAGACGGACACTCCAGCGGCAGTCTGCTCCCGAACTGCACCACTGGTAGGACTGCAACACGAATGCTTTGTTCTTCCAGCCGCCCAGCAGTTTTTAAATTATTCACCCACATGTGTGAGACAAACACAAGACCCCTTAGATCACACAATCTGAGGTGGGCTATGAACCACACATCTGGCCCACATCTCATTTCACTTGGTCAGCACAGTATTTTTAGGTTTTGAATTAAAATGTTACAGCATGTACAGACCCACCTAAATGGCTAAAGGTAAAAAACACACCATCATCAATTACTGCTGTGAAACAACTGGAAATCTCAGTTTTGCTGAGATAAGTGTAGCTTGGACATCTGCGTCGGAAACTAATTGGTAAAACCCAACATACACATGCCTTATGAGCAATCCTATGCCATGGCACACCCAACAGAAATGTGTGCTAATGATCACCAAAAATTAGGGGGGGGGGATGGCACTGTGGTGTAGCAGGTAAAGCTGCCACCTGCAGCGCCAACATCCCATGTGGGCACCAGTTCAAGTCGCAGCTGTTCTACTTCCAATTCAGCTCCCTGTTAATGCGTCTGGGAAAGCAGTGGAAGATAGCCCAATTACTTGGGCCCACGTGGGAGACCTAGAAGAGGCTGCTGGCCCAGCCCTTGCTGTTGTGGCCACTGGAGGAGTGAACCAGTGGATGGAAGATTCTCTCTCTGTCTGTCCCTCTCTGTAACTCTGCCTTTCAAGGAAATAAGTAAATCCTTTAAAAATATTAGGCACGCAAGTCTTCACAAGTTGCACTAGAAACTCAAATCCTAGAGGGGTGGATGGATTGATGTATTCATGAAACGGAGTAATGCAACAATGAGAATTAATCATCCACAGGTATATGCAAATTGTGGATGAATCACAAAAAATAGGACAGGGAGGGGTGTGGGAACCAGAATCAGTGCATTTTCAGAAGCAGTGTATATGATAAATCAAAGATGCACATTTGAAAAGTTACACCAACCACTGAAAGTACAATGCAAGAGATTAAAAAAAACAAAACAGGAGTTTAAAGCAGATGAAACAAATATAAAACAAATACCAAAAAGTCAGGCCTAATTTCAAACATATTAACAATTATGTGTATATGGACTAAAAGCACAGATTGAGAGACAGAGATGGGGCAGCTGTTTGTCCTAGCAGTTAGGATGCCCCTGTCCTGTATCAGCGTACCAGGGTCCGAGTCCTGGCTCCTGCGTCTGGCTCCTTTCTGCTAATGTGGACGCTTGGAGGCAATGGAGTAGTTGGGTTCCTGCCACTCCCATGGGAGGTCTGGATTAAGTTCCCAGCCTCTGCTGTTGCAGGCTTTGGAGGGAGCTCTCTCCATTTCTCTCTGATTCCGCCTCTCAAGTTAAACAAGCTTTTAAAATGAGATTTTCAGAATGAACACAAGAGCAAGACTCAACAATATGTTGTGTACAAAAGACATACTTGTAAAAATAATTCCTTTTTAAAAATGTTTATTTTCACCTACTTGAAAGGCAGAGTGACAGAGGCAGAGAGAGAAGGAGCTTGCTTCTTCCAAATGCCCTCAGCAGACAGGCTAAAGACAGGAGCCAGGAACTCCATCCACTCTCCCACGTGGGTGGCAGGGGCCCAAAAACTGAGCTATCTTCTAATCCTTACTGTTAAGTATCAATTTAAACAACAACAAAAGGACACAAGGCAACTTTGGGAAGGGTAATGCTATTACTTGATTGTGACGGTGGTTTCACAGGTATACATGTATGTCAAAAGCTGTCAAGTTGGGGGCAAGCA